TCTGTTACCTGTGTTACTTCTGTTACTTTGTTGTTTCTGTTACTTCTATGACCTTGTTACCTCTTTACTTCTGTTACCTTGTTACTTCTATTACCTTGTTACCTCTGTTACCTCTGTTACCTTGTTACATCTTTAATTCTGTTACCTCTGTTACCTTGTTACTTCTGTTACCTCCGTTACTTCTGTTACTTTGTTGTTTCTGTTACTTCTATTACCTTGTTACCTCTTTACTTCTGTTACCTTGTTACCTGTTACCTTATTAACTCTGTTACTTTGTCACTTCTGTTACCTCTGTTACCTTGTTACCTCTGTTACTTCTGGTACCTTGTTACCTTGCTACTTCTTTTATCTTGTTACCTTGTTAGCTCTGTTACCTTGTTACTTCTGTTACTTCTGTTAACTTGTTAGCTCTGCTCCTTCTGTTACCTAATTGTTACCTCTGTTACTTCACGGTTACGTCTGTTACTTCTGTTACTTCTGTTACCTTGTTACCTTGCTAGCTCGGCTACTTTTGTTACCTCTTTTGTTACTTTGTTACTTCTGTTACCTTGTTACCTCTGTTACTTCACGGTTACATCTGTTACCTTGTTACATTGTTAGCTGTGTTCCTTCTGTTCTTCTGTTACCTTGTTACCTCTGTTACCTCGTCTGTTACCTTTCTACTTTTGTTACCTCTGTTACCTTGTAACTTTGTTACCTTTGTTACTTCTGTTACCTTGTTACTTCGGTTACTCTATTGCCTTGTTACTTCTTATGTCTTTAGTGTTACTGTTACCTTGCTATCTCTGTCACCTCTGTTACCTCTCAGTTACCTTGTTAATTATTTTTCTTTTTTCCCCTGTTATGTCTGAGATCTTTTTTATTGTCAGTCGTCTGGTTTCTTGTGTAACTTTGTAAAGTTACTAAAGTCCACAAAGCTATGACAGTGACCAACGATACAAGTTTATGTTGCACCATTTTGGTTTGGTTTCTTGAATTTCATCCCGGTCAACTGGGCTAAAATTTCCCAGATGAACAGGCAACAAAATTTGTCCCCCCCAGTACCAAGCCAACCTGGTAACCAGGCTCATATGAAGGACCCTTAGTATAATTTTCATTCACTCCAAGTCCAGGATAATTGAAAGCATGAGGAAGTTTTAAACATAGGCACGCAAGGTGTGCAAGAGTTATTTTTTTGTGAACTATAAGTCTCGGAGATAGGAGCATT